AAAAGAAAAAAAAAAGGAAAAAAGGTGCATGCGTTTGCTTGAAGAGCCTTTCCAGCCTTGTGAGCTTGCCCATCCAGCTCCTGTCGCCTTCTCCCTTCCTTATCACCTGTATGCGTGTGTGTGTGTGTGTATGTGTGTGTGTGTGTGTGTGTGTGTGTGTGTGTGTGTGTGTGTGCGTGTCCCTCCCCGTTCCCTCCGGGGGATGAGCCGGTCCGAGGGGGCGGTTGACCGGAGAACAACCGGCCCTCTTGGCCCTGTCGTCTCCGGACACCCATCACACATACGCACATTCACAGACACATCCACGCACACGGAAAACGTAATTAGTCAGTGAAACCATACATGTTGGTCAGTGTTTCCCTGACCGTGTGCACGGAAACCCTGTCAGGCTGGTAGCGATATGCGTTGCGTAGAGTCTTTCTAACCACGCCCCAACAAGCCTCCCTGGCGAAACCGTTGTCCCTCATCGTGGTCACCACCTTGTTGATCTCCATGGGCGCATCACCAGGCTCAAAGCATAGTAGTACGATCTGCATGACCTGGGCTGTGATAACCTGCAACGCCTGCCTAGCGCTCCTATTAGACTTGTACTTCACGAATCTACATGGGGTAAATCCCAGTCCTTCTCGCTTGTCGTGTTTGGAGGTAATGTACGCGCCCGTCTCCGAGGAGGTGATTGTGATGGTCACACTGAGAAAGTTGGCTCTTCGGCCGTACCCATCCATAACGACCTCAGTATTCTCCTTGAGCTCGATGTACTCGTCCGGATAGATCCATAAAGGGTCGTTCTCCGCCCTGTCCTCCATCTTCCTTATGAAGCTCCCGATGATGGTGTTATTGATTACGCCCAAGTCGTCGATATATGTGAAGGTGTCCGAGAAATACGGGATCAGATGGGCATTCCCGGTATCCGCCAACCTCATCATAGCGTGGTATTCATACTTGAAGAAGTATATATCACACCAGATTGGGGAGCAGGCCAGACCCATGGGGATTCCTCTGACCTGCCTCCACACGTAGTCCCCCATGTGCAGCACGCTATTGGCAATGCACCACTCAGTGAGCCAGAAGACATCCTCCTCCTTGAACAGCATCGTCCCATCTCCATCGGCCTGATCGCCATCCACCCACGAAGGCCAGAACTTGCCGCCCCTCCCAGTTCTGACCTGAATGATGTGGGACGAGCTCCTCTTCCTCCTCACCTGCATCGCACTCTGCACGTAGAACCTCACCGCCATCGGTAGGCCATCCTCTGAGCCGTCCGTGGGGATTATCTCGAAACACTTGGTGATGTCCGCCATGAAGACAAAAAAGATCTTCTCTGGCATGTTTGCACAAAACTCCCCCACCGAGGCTATCGACCACCAAAGGTTCGGCTTCACACCATACCGTTCCTCCATCTCCATGCTCCTTTCCTGACAGAACATCTACACAAGGGGAAGAAGAAACCGAAGTAGACATGCACAAAGGTCCGCTGCTGGGGAGACGATTGTCCCGATTGTGTTCGTGATCCAGCGGAAAGCGCCTTTATGTGCCTTGAATACAATCATCAGGTATGGGAGCGTCGGGGGTGCCATCGGAAGTGCGGGCAAGGCCGAAAGCTAGCCTTGCACCCGCGCGATTACCGAGGCAGGGGGGGCAGCGATGCTCGCGAACTCCGGTCCGGACAGCCTCTGAAAAGCAAGCTTTTGAATGAAGTTTTTGCATATAAATGCAGGAGTATTTGACGCTTTAGCCGTAGGACAAATGAGAAAGCGGCTGGTGAGGAATTCCAGCTCCCGCTTGACCGCCGGATGTTCGAAGGGTTCCGCGGATACATGCTTGTGCTGCTCTCTATACTTGGTCATCTTCGCTCTTGCCTTCTTCAAAATCACCCTACACAGAAATGATCGGGTGGATGTCGTGGGATCCCGCAGCTCCATCACTTCCGCCATGAGTCTGTCTAGGAAGCCACCCACCTCGTTCTCTGCCACATCGACATCCAGTGCCATGCATGGGATATGATTGAACCCAGAGTTGATGATGCCTTGATGTAGAGGATTATTCGTGATCGACGAGTCAAGCGTGATCACGTGCGTATGCCCTTCGCACCGGAGCAGGTCTATCGAACCAGGGCTCCACATGTCCGCTTACCTTTGTGATCTGCACGGGCACTGCTCAGGATCATAGACCTCCAACAACTATGCCACGTCAAACTCGCAAAACACATCTGTAGGTCTGCAAAGTCTGGACGCGATACTGGTGTTATAAGTCCAGCCAATCATCGTGCGCTCGAGCCAAATTGTTGTCTCATCCCCCACTATCCTCGCCAGAATCTCATTGATCATCTTTCTGATGGAGAGTGGCTCCATCACCCTGCTGGTGGACTTGAGATGCAAGAAAACATCGCAATCCGACTTCTATCTTCTCCGAGACCTCCGGCCCGTCGGCTGTGTTACCACGCGTTCATTGAACGCGCGTTTCGCGTTCAGGGTATGAACGCGGCGAACGCGCGTTCACTGGACGCTCGTGAACGTGTTTGACGCGTTTGCGCAGGTGGGTGTGCAGGGTGGGGGAGGCCTTTGGGCAGTGTGGGGACTGGCGG